CTTGATATATACACTTTTTTTATTGCGTTTAAAAAACACAGGATATTGAAGGCCTAGAGTAAAAGAGAAAAAGACATGTTTAAAAGTATTTATAGTAGAAATCCGTGTTTTTAAGTCAATAAAACAACACAAATCGATATAGACTGTTATTATATTATACATCTAATAATGTCTTTCAATATACACAATAAACTAATGTCATAGAAAAATAGACAATAGAATCCATTCAACGACTAAAAATATAAGAATATTTTTATTATTCAATAAATCTTTCAAATATTTAATAAATATAATTTATTTTTATATTTCATATCAATAAAAAATTCATATGCTTACAAAAAATAATAGATACAATACAAGTTGAAAACGTTCTTAAACTTTCACATTTTGAATTAAATTCTGCCTATTTAGAAGTATTTTCTATGGCTTTTAATTTTAAATCTGTTCTAAACAATGTGTGTCTATAATCGATTCTAAACAGATTCATAAGTGCATTACGAAATGTATTTCCACCACTTAATGTATAGATATAAAATGGCATTCCACTTGCAAGATATGTTAACAGAAGAACAAAATTATAGATAAATTCTTCTATTGCTAGGTTTAATGATGATTTTCTTTGATACATTGTTAATGTTGTGTATAATTTTTCAATAACTTGTGGAATAGTAAGAATAGTTAAAAATATAATTTGAACAAAAAGTACATGACGTAAATATCGATCAATTCGTTTTCTTCTTCCTCTTAGAGGATTTGTTGATTTTAATGTTTTTTTATTATTTTCATTTACATCAATTAATTTTGATTGTGATGATGTCATAGAATGCATTTGACGTATATTTGATATCGTCAATAAACCAAATATACACATAATTAATAATGGACATAAGATTGTTACTACTGCATATGTTAAATCAGTTACTAAACGACACATGATTGTTTTACCATAGCAACGAAGTGGTGCTAAACTCATATTAGCATCATAACAATAGAGTACTTGAAAATAAAAAATAGAAGATAAAATCACAACATAAATTGTTCCTTGTTGAGCGTTTTTTAAAGAACTATATTGTCGTCGTTGATATTCAATACATGATGATAGCCATCGATCAATCGTAGCAAATGCAATCAACCAGAAAGCAATTGATCTTGAAACTAACATAATAAAAGCACGAAATTTACAAAGAAATGCATTTGTATTTGTTAAATCCATATGCCATCCAGATAGTATCCTTGAAGTTAAACCAAAGATAATCGAAATAATATTTGCAATTGATGAAATAAGAAAATAGAAAGTACATGGATTTGAACGAAGAGATGGTCGAGATAAAACGAGACAATTAAGTAAATTACCAATAGTACCAAAGAGAAAAATAAAAATGGAAAAATAACGATTAAATTGGATAGAAATAAGATCTAATGTTTCGGCTAGATTCGTATTGGATACGTTTGACATTGAAGAAAATAAATTCGGGTTAGACTTCGCTAAAAAAAAAAGAAGAGAATTATTATCATTCAGAATTTCTTACAATCTTATAGATAATCATAAAAATATAATAAACAGTAAAGCTAATAATTGCATCCCTCAGTTTGATGTGTAACATATACCTTCTATCTAATGTTTTATCTTCATAAGAAATCTTCTCTTTTTATCCTACGTAACATAAAACATATTAATGTTGTTGTGTTCAAAATAGAATCAGGAAAGTGTGTAGCCTCAGTAAACACATCAGTCTTAATTATATTCATTATATTCTGTGTAATGTAGTTATGAAAAGGAAATTCTTGCAGTGATAATTATATTTTTGTAAAAGTATTTAATGAAAAATAAATTTAATATAACAAATACATATTCATTCATTACAAACCTTATAATTTAAAACAGTATCGGAATGTATAATTATGAACTAGGTTCAAATAAACAATTTGTTAGATACAAAATGCAAAAGTCTGGTCTAATAAAATCATTTAGTCAAACGAAAGAATACAGCGTATTAGTCCTTTTCTTTTTCTTGCCTAATAGTGCTATATAAGAACAATAGGAACTAAAAACAACAAGAGAATAAATAGTAAGAAAGTGAAAGACAGGAAATTAACGGAGCCTACATCTTTTATTTAATTATTATATCATCTAACACGATATTTTGTAATTTAGTTCTATAATTAGAAAAACACATAATGTCTCCACGCGCTGTATTATATTTTCATTGAAGAAGTAACAATCGTACTATCATAGTTTTTTTGTGTATTATTAATTATTGATCGAAAAAAAAAAGCTCTTATATAGTATTTTGCTTTTTATTGTTTACAAAGAGAAAAATGATTAATGCTAGAAAGTTTCTCTATTATTATATGAAAGAATAAAATTTTTTACGGTTCAGAATACTAATAATTGCTTGTCAAAATATGCATTGTTTTGTCTATTCATATTTCATCGATAAGATTGGAACTTTTTGTCTTATTAATGGTAAATTTGACTCTTTAATATAGAGATGAAAGATTATTATGTAAACGAAATAATAGTGATAGATAAAGAAATTAAGAAAGACACATCGTCAGAAGATTTATTCTAATATCATTATAACATTAATAGATGTAAAACTATGTCATGTTGTTCTACAAATTTTCGGTAAAAACAAAAAAAAAGAACTAATGATGATAATTGACTAATGTAAGAATCGAATTATAGTTAACCCTCGGTTACTATTGTGGAATCCACGTGACCCACTTTATAGATATTCGTCTCGTACTACACAACTATTAACTATTTCAAATCATTTGTTTTTTGTACTCTATAGGGACTGGTACATCAAAAATCATGAATAGATCTAAGAGAGAAAAAATACGGATGTACGTCCACGCGGATCCCAGGGCACTGTTGAAATTATAAAATGAGAACGGTAATCGAGAGAGGAACAAATATTATCCGTCATAAACTGTTAAATTTAAAAGAAATTATAAGATTAATTTTAAATTAATCCAATGTATCTACTTTCAAAATTTATAAACGATCATCTATCTAGACAAGTACGAATACCTTGATCGTTTTATAAAGCATATAAAACAAACAATAATAAAAAATAGGAATTTATATTTATGATATACAATAGATCACCACTACTTTGTTTATCAGAAATAATATGTATAGATTATTTTACAGTATTTAAGTGTCATCCTGTACATCTAATTTTATCATTATTATCTCATATGCGATATTTTGACTACGGGAAATATTGACTGACTGTGCGCATTTTCATGTTAAAAATAGAACTATAAAAAATTGCTTTTAACGATTTTTCCTAGTCATAACAAAAACTGCATGTCTTCCGTATGGTATATTCTTAGTCTGTTGGAAACTAGACATCCTATTATTCGTCTACATTGACATTCTTATTCACACAAAAGTATAAAGTATAAAAATTATTAGTATGATTATTTACAATTGAAAATATCGACAACAGAAGAGAAAACTATAAAGAATCATTTATGCTTGTACATTACATTCCAGTCTTTCTCTTCTCTTCTCTACAAAAATGTAAAAAATAAATCTATTTATTTTATTCATATTTCTAGTTCATTTTGAATAGAACTTTTCGATTGCTTGTAAAAATGTAATTATTCATTTATATAATATGGTCAATAGATATTCGATATTCGTATCGAAACGCTCGTTAAATTAGTTACTAAACGACACGTGATTGTTTTCTGGTAACAATAAACTGATACTAAAATTATATTAGCATCATAACAATACAACACTTGACAATAGAGAAGCGAGCACATGATAAAATCATAATACAAAATCTTCCGTGCTGAGCATCTTTTCTAGGGTTAAATTGTTATCGTTAATATTCACTACATGATGAAAGCTATTAATCAGTTGCAGTACTTGACCTCGAAATCAGCATGATAAAAGCACGAGAGGTACAAAGAAATTTATCTGTCAAATCTAGATCTCATCTGGACATTGTTTTTGAAGTTAAACCAAAAATAAATAAGAAAATAAAAAGTACATGAGTTTGAACGAAGAGATGATCGAGAAAAATAATCATTAAATTGCAGTGAAACACTGTTCAATATATATAAATGTCAAGGATATATCCGTCATTTAAAGGTCATAGTTAAAAATAAATGCTTAAAAGATCATATTACACGTAATCTTATATATATATATCTTTAGAATCTTTCACATGTGATAGTTGTCTTAATAGAAGAACGCAACATAACCTGATACTACCTATTATATATTCTTCAAAGGAAAAGTAGAACTTATCATTTTCGGTTTTATTTTATATAAACCGCATTAAATGGATATATATATATATACGTCTGATTAAAAGATTTCGATATAGATCCTCAAGTGCATTTTGGCGGAAAAATAAATTTATCTTAATAAGTGATAAATTCTAGTATAGAAATAACAATATTCATAGACAAAAAAAACCCTGTTTTCTATCAATAAATTCTTATTAATCGTAAACAATCAATTTAGGACATCTTTTATAATAAAACTATTTTCCTATAGTTTTTATTTTATTCAGATATATGCAGTATTTATTTGAATTCTATGTCTATTTTTAATGTACAAAAATACAATAGTAATGCGCTTTATTTTGTTTTGAACAGATCCATAAGTGCATTACGAAATGTATTTCCACCACTTAATGTATAGATATAAAATGGCATTCCACTTGCAAGATATGTTAATAGAAGAACAATATTATAGATAAAATTATCTATTGTTACATTTAATGATGATTTCGTTTGATTCATTGTTAATGTTGTATATAATTTCTCAATAACTTGTGGAATTGTAAGAATAGTTAGAAATATAATTTGAACAAAAAGTACATGGCGTAAATATCGATCAATTCGTTTTCTTTTTTGTTTTTTAGGTTTTATTGTTTTTTTATTCTTATCGTTTATATCAAGTAATTTTGATTGTGTTGATTTATTGGAATGTATTCGACCTATATTTGATATTGTCATCAAACCGAATATACACATAATTAATAACGGACATAAGATTGTTACTAATGCATATGTTAAATCAGTTACTAAACGACATGTAATTGTTTTACCATAGCAACGGAGTGGTGCTAAAATCATATTAGCATCATAACAATACAATACTTGACAATAGAGAAATGACGACAAGATAATAATAGCAATCGTTCCTTGTTGAGCATTTTTTAAAGAACTATATTGTCGTCGTTGATGTCGATAGGATGATAAAAGCCAACGATCGACTGTTGCAAGTGCTATAAGCCAAAAAGCAATTGACCTTGAAACTAACATAATAAAAGCACGAAATTTACAAAGAAATGCATTTGTACTTGTTAAATCCATATTCCATCCGGATAGTATCCTTGAAGTTAAACCACAAGTAATGGAAATAATATTTGCAATTGATGAAATAAGAAAATAGAAAGTACATGGATTTGAACGAAGAGATGGTCGAGATAAAACGAGACAATTAAGTATATTACCAGTAGTACCAAAGAGAAAAATAAAAATGGAAAAATAACGATTAACTTGTATAGATATATGATCAAGTGTTTCAGATATATTCCTGTCTAGCATATTTAATATTGAGGAATGAACATGTTCATAGAGTTATATCTAAAAAAAAATAAAATTTTTACCTACAGGCGTAACATAATCTCAGGCTAAGAAAGTATTAAATGGTGTTATATACTTAAATAAAGACGTACTTTGACAGTTTTATTAAAAACACACGTGATAGGCATTTCATTTATAATCGCAATAATACGTTGTCATGCTTTCTTTAAACCTTATCATATAGAGAATAAGAATATTACCTTTACAGTACGAGTACTAATAACATGCTGTATTCCAAAAAAAAAGTAATTAAAAAGTATTCTAAGTCTATTTCTTTACATATGATGACATATGTTTTAAGGTTAAGTACTTTCCAAAAACAAATTCTGACCTTTTATTCACTCACTAATCTACACAGAAATTATTCTGACCTTAATAATAAATAAAATCAAATATAACATTACGATTGTTCTAATCAGAATGAATACATTCATCACTCAATAAATTAGCAGTTGTCGCTCAAAAACAAAATAGAGATGATATTTTCTTCTGATTAATATTTCTTCGACTAAATAATAGTGTAGAATAATAAAAGACACAGAAAAAGAAAATACCCAATAATATTCTTGTATAGAGAAACGTTGAGAAAACTATAGAAGTGTAGGTTGATACTGTCATATTATTTTGTTTGTTAAAAAATATATTTGAAACCCTTCATTGTTTTGATTATATATGAGCATCACTATTTTTATAACTACTCATATTGATAATTATAGGATACTTTTTTTCTTTTTCTATTTACTTTAACAGCAAGTCACGGGAGTCTTTTCATGTTTATATAATATTAGTTCCTGTTAGAAACAAAATAAGTTTGTCTATTACCACGTAAATCATAATTTTCTATATATAATCTTGGTATAATTACAAGAGAGAAAATACTGTTTTTTTTAATATATATTTGTATTTTTGTGTGTACCGGAAATTCTGGAAAGTTTGGCAATTGTTTGTAGGCTAACTAAATGATTACAAAGATTATCATATCAAGAAGTAAGCCTATAGCAAAACTATTCACTAAGATATTAAATGAGTTATAAAAAAAATTTTTGTCGTTAAGATCATCGAATAGCAATTCAAAAAATAAGATGAAATATTAAAATATTTTAAAAATGAATAGTTTTTCTAGACTGTATAGTTTCTAAATTAATTATATTCAAGGTAAACATACGTAATCATTGCATGCAAATAACAGCTGGATAGTTATTTCAAGTGTCATAAATGTGTTATGGATAGAAGTATAATGAGAATATTATAATATAAAAAATTAAATGTCCTTTTGACTTTGTTCTATTTTTTTCTTTATAATATTGAAAACTTTCCCCTAATTAAACTATATAGATACAATTTACTTGTTAATGAATAAAATAATTTGTTTTTTTTTAATTATCATAAACTGAAAAAACAAAATTACTCTGGATAATTCATATTATTTATCTATAATAACAATAATAAAAAAACTGTGTGACTTTGTTTACTAAGACAAGAATATCATGAAACACAAGAACGATAAAAATGTCGTATAATTAAAGTAGAGACAACATAAGAATAACTACTATCACGGGTACTTTGGTTTGTGAATATGATTTATGTCATAACTGAGCTATTTACTTCCGTTGCTAACAAAGAATAATATTATTATTATTATATAGAAAAAAAAGTTGATGTTGACAACATTATATGAAATAAATCAAAATATTTTATACATATATTCTACCAACTAGAAAAAAAATTAGTTGTTTAGTTAGTTTAACATCTAAATTGAATGAATAATATAAGCGAAATAAAAAATAAAGAATATTTTTTAACTCAAACACGTGTATTATAGAATTGCTTATCTCTTTTTTTTGTTGTTGTTATATATCTTGGGTTTGTCAACATAATATCAAACAGACAATTTCATTTATCCTTAGTTTTAAAAGAAAATGTTGTTTTATTTATTTATAACGTGTCACATATTATATTCAGTTTCATGTGCTATATCTTGTTATGATTGTCCTGGCAGTGAAAATGTTTTTAATTATAATATTACTAATGAACACATGCCTGAAAAACTCAACGGCTGCGTATTAAAACCCATGGATCAATGTACTGTAAGGATTATATGGCTATATAATATAGGCAAAACCGAAATAGTAGTCACTGGTGGTGATACTAAAAAATCTATATCAACTGACCATGCACTTAATGTCGGTACAGGTTACGAGTATCGTGAGGAATTAGATGCGGAACAAGTTCTGGAATATATATGTTCAACTGATGAATGTAATAGTTTGGGTCAAATAAAACGTTTGATAAATTCACTAACAGTAACAAGTCATCTTGACGAAATTGAAAACATGATCAAACCTCAACAACCATTTCAAGGTGCATGGTGTGTTCGTGTTTCAAATACAACTACTATTGAATGCGATCCTACAATACCAACTGAGTTATGTAGACAATGTTCATTAGCAGTACAGAATGATGAAAAGACAACGCAAGTATGCGCAACTTGTTCAACTGAAAGTGTGGATAATTCTTTATCATATACAGTAATGTTTAATATGAATGATCGAACACGCTCTAATATTTGGCAGGTTCTATGTCAAGCAGACAAATGTAATTCATTAAGTAATGCCGATCTTATTCATGAAAAAAGTGCAATGGACTTTGATTTTAATAAATTTTTTAATAATGGACAAAACCGATTCTCATTATCAATAATGATTAATATGGTTATGATTTTCATCATTTTTTTAAACAAATTTCTTTATTAAATAAAAATAAACTTCCGTTTTTTTCAAAAACTTATTATAGCATTTAAAATATTCTTTTGTTTTGTTATCATACACCAATATTTCTTATTTCTAATAATTTTAATAATAAATTTACTTGAAATGTGATTCATAATGAAAAAAAGTCTTTATAATGATAACAACAATGAAAGAAAAAATATTTATCTTTTCATACTTACATACTTTAGAATCTTTTTAACTGTTATCAAATGCATTTAGTAATTCAAACTACGAACATGCTTTTTTGTTTATTCATAATATTTAATATTATATATTCAATTTCATGTACAATAACTTGTTTTAACTGCCCAATTGATACAAATAATTTCGATTATTTTATTACTGTAAATAATGTACCCGATCAACTTAATCATTGTACAACGATCGACAATGTAGATGCTTGTTTTATGGATGTTATATGGAGCCGAGATCCAGATAAAACAAAAATAGAATTACATGCAAGAGGTGATGGAAGAACAATATCTGTAGATCATTCACTTGTTACTAATGTTGAAATGGAAAACCTAAATTCTACCCTTATTTGGAATCGAGGAATTTCATATATATGCTCAACGGATCAATGTAATAGCTTAACTAACTTAAAACGTATACTAGAATCAGTAACATTAAATGATAATTTTAATGAACTTGAATATTTACTTAGAAGTGATGAACCGTTTGATGGAAATTGGTGTAAATTCTCGACAAATTATACATCACCAGATTGTAATATTGGTATACCACCGATGGCTTGTCAAGAATGTTTTTTTCAAGGAATAAGTGATCATGGTCCAGTCGGATTATGTTCAAATTGTTTACCGTTCGATACTGATGAATCATTTATATCCCATGAAGTCAATTTTAATATGACCGATCGTACACGTTCGGATCATTGGCTTTTAGAATGTCGATTTAAAGATTGTAATACCTATGATAATGGCAATATGGTTCGACAAAAGAGTATAGCTGACTTTGATTTTACCAAATTTTTAGATGCTAATAAATCAAGTATTTTATCATCGATTAACAAAAATATGATACTTTTTCTTATCGTTATAACAAAACTTCTTAATTAACTAAATTATAAATGTAATCAGACTTTATTTGTTTTAATCTTTAATAAAAATGTATTTTTTTAAGTAAAAAATTAATTCTAACAATCAAAGATAGGTGTCTGTCTAAAGAATAGATAATATATATTATAAAAGATAGCAAATGAAGATATTTACACAGTAGAAAATCTTTATCTTTTTCTATTTATATATCTTGAATCTTTTTATTTAATATCAGACAAACATTTTCACGTATATATTTATTTTAACTTGATAATAATATAATATCAACAAAACAATGTTATTCTTGTTTTTTATACTATTTCAATTATTCTATTCAATTCAATGCCAATTAACTTGTCATAATTGTCCTCGAGAATCTAATATTTTTAATACGATTATAACAGCTGATACTATACCAGAAAATCTAAAAGATTGTACGATGATAAGTGAACAAATGGAATGTTCAATTCATGTAACATGGACGCAAAATCCTAATCAAACTATACTAATGCTTATGCCAGGTGGTGAAAGAAACAGCATATCAAATCGATATAACCTTCAAAATACTATCACATTGACTAATACTGCTTCTCAACTACAATGGACAAAATCACTTGATTTTATATGTTCAACCGAACAATGTAATAGTCCAATAATATTAAAACGTTTATTAAAATCATTAAAATCTGATGATAGTTTCAATACACTTTCTCAAATTCTTGAAATAAATAATCAATTTCATGGTAGTTTATGTAATTTCTTTGCAAATAGTAGTATGTCATGTGAAACTGAAATGGATCAAAATACTTGTAAACAATGTGCAACTCAAGAATATATTGAATCGAAACCAGTAGAAGTATGTTCAAATTGTGTTATGGATGATATTATTGAAAATTTTATTACACGTCAAGTGAAATTTTTTATGAATAATCGTGAACGACATGATATGTGGATGATTGAATGTCAACAAAGAGGTTGCAATGCAATAGAAACAGGCGATTTAATACGACAGAAAAGTGATATTCAATTTGATTTTGATCTTTTTCTAAACAAGGGCAATAATAAATTCAGAGATATTTCATCAATTTGTCTTCTATTTTCGATTTTTATGAAAATCTTTTATTTGTAAATCGAAAAAAAAATTCGAATTTTATATTTATTAAAATATAGTTGTATCATCTCTATTGATTTCTAAAAATAAAATATGTTTTCTAAATTATTCTTTAGCTTGTTTATAAACACCAGCTGGTGTAACATTTGCACCTCGTCCATAATACAATATGAAATCAGCGAACCAAGCAGGAAGCATTGAGAGTGGAAAAAAGAGTAAACTTGATTGCCAACCTGGTCGATAACGGATATGTGGATGTGTATTAGTAACCGCATGTTGAAGTGCACGTACTACTTTCATAGGGTTTTCAGCAAGATAAATAAATAAATTCTGTGATCGTTTATTTACTATATTATTAAGATAATCTTCACCCCATCGATCTTTAGTATCAACAGGAAGTTCATTCCATAGTTTTTTCATTGTTTCAACATGTCCTTCAACTATAGGTGTTCGCATATAACCAGGTTCAATGATACTAACACGTAATTTCCATGCATGCATTTCACGACGAAGACAATCAGAAAATGCTTCGAAGGCAAATTTTGAAGCACAATAAGATGACATAGTTGGTGCAACCATATAACCTGCAACTGAACATAAATTAACTACACGTGAATCTTGTTTAGTTATTAATAATGGTAAAAATGTTTTTGTCATAGAAACATGTCCAAAAAAATTTACTTCCATCATTTTTCTCATAAAATCAAGTGTAATCCAATCGATTAAACAATCTTGATCGATACCAGCATTATTAACAAGTGCATGTAATGTATTTGTTTTTTCTTTAACTAGTTTATAGGCTGCATCAATATGTGATGATTGAGTTATATCAAGATGAAATACAATAGCACGTGATGAAAGTTTATTTTGAAATGATATTTGATTTTCTTGATTATAGATTCCGGCAAAAACATTAAAACCTTGTTTATCAAGTTCAATAGCTAATGTATGACCAAAACCAGTATCACATCCTGTTATAAGTACATATTTACCATTTGGATTAATATCTTTTGATAAATATAAATGTTGATACAATCGATAACTTATATAGAATATGAATAATAATATTAAACAAATCAAGAACATATTTTTGTCTTCGTTAATATCTCGAAAAAAGTAACTTAAAAGCAAAGAATGTCAATACTAGATATACACAGATGAATTATAAACACGTTATTCGTTTTTTTTCTTCTTTTCTTACGTTTGCATGTGTGCATGTCACTTTCTATTTTATTTTGATGTACTCTAGATAGTAAGAAAAAGTGTACACAGGAAAGAAAAGAAATATGAAAGAACAAGCGAAGCATTATTACCTAATACGTTATAAGTTTCTATATATGCCTATTATTTAATCTCGAAGCAGAAAGAATATAAAGCATCATCGATTGTTTAATACGACCAGTTTATCTCTTTCATCCGAATTAACGATACTATGTATTGAGTTTTAAAGTAAACTCGATATGCTTCCAGCAATTTCGCTAGTAGTATCATAACATGCTATTCATAATAATCTATTATATAAAGTATAATCAAATTTCCTATAGAAATCTTGTACGACAGTCTTTTTCATATTACATTTTTATACTAAATGGAAGAAGTTATCAGTATAAAATGTGAATTCGATTTCTGAGAAGTATTTAGTGAATATTGAGAAGAATGATAATATATCTATAGGAAAATTTCTTAACGTCATCATCTCTATCTTTAAATCATAATGCGGTTTTTCTTATGAGATGAATTATTTATTGTGAAAAAGTTTTGACTGATTGTATACAATAATTTTCAATGAAATCTTTATCAAGACTAGCAATATATTCTTCCTCTTTCATTAATATAATCTAACAAAAAAAAAGTTATTTTATTTTCATTCTTTTTTACTGTTCTAAAAAATGCATAGTTTTAATATGAACTTAATTAAATTAATCTGTTTATCATACTCACTCGTTCATTTAATGATATATTCAAGTTGATATTTGTCTTTATTTTATTTATTTCACATATATAATTAAAACTATTTAACATGGATGACAATAACCTAGTCCTAGTTTTTCTCGATGTAATATTTGTTTTTCATTAGCAAAAAGTGTCAAAGTTATATAACGAAGAGGAGCATCACCCCATCGATACAGAAATACACCTCGAGATTCATCAACAGCTTGAGCAAAATCAATAACATCCTTTCGCCGCATAAATGATGTATCAACAACTTCAAAATTATTCCAATAAGTTGGTATTTCACCGACATGCCTAAATATATCAGCATACATCTCAGGATTTTGTACAATTATTTTGTTTTTATTTATGTAATCGTTTGTAACATTTCGTACACGTGTCATACCCGGAAGAACATAGTCAACGTCAAGTTCTCTACTATTAGCTATGTAAACAGCTTTTTCTTTTGATATTATATCAAATACATTAGGCCATTTACCTAAATAAAATAAAAATTATGAAAAGAAGCATTTATCGTAGTTAATAGGATTTGAATAAATATCATAAAAAAAAACAAATTACCTAAAATTTGTGAATCATCATCAAGTCGCATCATGTATCGATATCGTTGAATGATTTTTAATTCAAATACTTGTTGAAACCAAAAATTACACATATGATGATAATTCCATTTACCTCTTTTTGTCCATGTTGGATCTCTTATATGAGGATCAAAATCAGATGGAAATTTATAAAATAAATGATCGATATTAACAAATTCAATTTGACGAGGAGTAGCTTCCATAATTGATAATAAATCTGCACGGAAAGGATAACCAGTATGAAAGATAATTAAATCTGTTTTATTATTATCATTAAAACGTTCATTAAGTTGAATAATTCTTTCGCGAAGTTTTGGATAAGGATTATAAGCTGTTTTAACATCACCACTAAAACTTGCAACTAAGAAAACAATAGCATTTTCCGAATGCTAGATTAATAAAATAAGAATTTTAGAAATTAGATTTTAGGTATTAGTACATTACGAGTTTGATTTAAATATGCATATTTGGAAAATATTAATGGTTCTTCATTTTTTTGAACAAATTCAGATTTTATAGAATTACTTTGTCGAACTACGATTGATAATAATGGTTTTGTAGTATCGACGAAACAGAAGAAAAGGATTGTAAACAATGAAACCGATAAAATTAATTTGACAAATAATGGTTTATATGTTGATTGTATAGTTCTATAAGATCACATTTGAAAAAAATAAAATAGTTGAATAGAAAGAAAGATTTTTACTGTTTTAATTCTAAGCAAAAATCTTTTGTTTTTATTTGATTGAACTTGCTGGAAAGATTTTCGATCGATGAGTAGTTATTTGAAGTATGATTTATTTCTGATGTATCCATTGTTATATTATTGAAATGTATATATCTAGAAAAAAAATTTATTTCTATAAATAAAAATTGATCATCTAACAGTATGATAATAGAATTATCCATATGTTCTATCAGTGTGTCATGGTGTTCTCCCTTTCTGTTACTGTTTTATCCAACATATACACATATATATATATATGTATAGCTGTCGTTATATGTATGTGTTATATATATATCTTCCATTCTTCGTTCTCTCTATCCGTTGTTTTCTCTCTTCTTTCTTTCAATAAAGATACCTTATCCGAAGATCGTATTTTATTGAATATCAAGACATGACAATAACAAAACTATTTTCATATGACAAGTAGGCATAATGAAAAACTTATATATTTGCGTTATGTATATCAATAATATTTTACCAATTTATACATGCGTTTTCGATATTTCTTTAGTTTGCATCATAAATAAAAGCGACGACTGATAGTGACTTAATGGATGACTGTTATTGCATAAAAAAGATCAATACAACCACGTGCAATGTGATTTTTGTTTGTAAGGCCCCTATATTCATCTTGATTTAATTCATTTTGTTAGAAGTAGTAATCAGGAGGCCTTCTATAATTGTTTTTATTCTTCCGTCTCTCGATTTGAAAAAAACATTTTTATAACTAACAAACATCTTCAAGGTTAAAACTACTTTAACCTTCGTTGTTTGATAAGCGAAACTTACATTTCACTTTTCATACTATTCATAAGAATATTTTTAATCTGAGCAATTATGAAAGAAATGAAATAAAAATGAATTACCAACAAATTTGTATAATTTTATATTATCCCTGTCGTTTTAATTGATTGTTATTGAATATGAAAACTTTCTTCAAATTTATTTTTTTTACAACGAAGTCATTTAATGTCAATATGAAATAACTGTTAGAAACTTATTAAGACGAATGAGAATTCATAGATAATTTATTATGCACATTCTAAAAAATTTGCTCTGATTTTGAAAACTAGTCAAAATTCAAACTCCAACATGAACTTGAATTGATGATTATATGGTTCGATTTATGCTTGAAATCAACAAGAATAAGATAATTTATTCTTTCATATATTCATGATTTCAATAACAATGAAATATATATATATATGAGGTCTCATATTTTTATATTAGCAATTTACGTAGACAAAAAAAATAGATTTCGAAGTCTATCAGAAAATATCTCTCACCTGTTTAGAACTCATATTTATCATAACATGCCGTGATAGTAGTAATTAATAGATATAAATTCTGTCCGTTGTATAATTAAAAGTTATATTAGTGCAGCATAAGTATTTTTAACCAATAATTTCAACAACTTCAATTAGTATTAGAATTACACTGTTATCTTTAACTTAACTAGTGTATGAGAGATGTGGGTGTGGGTTACCTCTCCCGCCTTCACTTATAACCACACCCACACCTTCGGCGATACTTCTCAGAACAGAAGTCAGCAAAAAGTAATAGCGGATGATTATAGAGGATTCAACCGAGTCCCACCAACGAATGTTACTTGTTGATATTTCGTATATTTAGAATTGTGCATTATGTATTAAAATACAATGCTAGTTTATAAAAAGCTTTATTTTCAAAATTAAAGCAAGCGAAGGTTAACATGTTACTTATTTTCACTAGACAAAGTCAATCGATTAATAAAAGAATTTTTTAAATGCGTCTAGCTCTTATAATACGACGTATCCGATCAAAAAATTTCTTAAACTCAGTTCTATAGAGTTCAGCTGGCAATACAAATATCGGAAAAATACCTATCAGCGGAAAAAAGGAAATAAAGTAAGCAGTCATATAAAGATATTTTTGCCACGTATAGATAATACACATTAGTGTAAATGAGAAGATCAGTCGAATTAAACTAAGAATAACTAATGTAATGGGACTACCATACAGAGGAAGTTGTTTCTTCAAAGCAAAGAAATAAGTTTTCTCTTTCTTATTTTTACCAAACGTCTGTTTCATTTTTGTTGACTTGTGCAAAAGAAATCCTGTAGCGATCAGATTGATTAAACCAGGAATAATCAGATTGATTAAATTGATAGTTAGTCTGTAATATTCTAGCCATGGCCAACGAAATTTAACTATACACCATGTATGTCGAGTTGCAGCTCGTGGATCATCGATCAATTCATGAATGAATGGTTCATGCCATGAACCAATCAGAACAATAATTATGAGACAAAGAATAATACGTTTAGCCCACCAGACGCTCTCAGATTTCTTGAAGCCAATACCCTTGATCATATTAATGCTACGTTCGACAGCTACACATGCCGTTAACCAATCGAAAAGCATCGGGAAAACATTTAAGAAATATTCTAGAGTAATACAGCTCCAGAGGACATGGGAATTCTTATCGACATTGTACAGTTGTGTACACAAAAAATAGAAAAATCGACCAGCTAATACAAACAGTCCCAACTGGCTAATAATAGGTAGACAAAAAAGATATAAACCACAGCCAATTTCTTGCACTTTGGGTTGCATGAAAGTAATTAGTGATAGCCCATTAGATAATAGTCCCACTAAAAGAATCAGAATAATAATTATTAGTGTTAATTTAATTAGAAAAGGTTGATTTGTCAATGATATATTTGCAAGAATATCCAGACCAAGCATGGGATCTAATGAAAGTGCATACTGAGATGTTGTCAATTGACAGAGTGAACCATACGCACATCCACCACAAACACAATCAAAATCCCATACTCCATCAAAAGTATTCTTCACACAGTGACCATTATTATGACAATAATTTGTTGTACATTGCTTAGATATTTGTTCAAATATGAAACATTGAGGTTGACGATCTTTATCACAGAAACATAAATAAGCTTCATCATAGAAACATTTAAGGACATTGTTTTCTTTGCAGACATGGTGATAATATTTAATCTTTTTCATAAAAGAGAATTGGCGGATCGTTCTATTTTGAAGCACTTCATCCACATAAGGACATTGATTTGTCTTATGGATTGTTGTAATGATATATTTTACACGGCTTTTGATAATCGTTGCAATATAATATCTGGAATAATTACCTTCAAAGAATATTTGCAGGAGAACAAATTGAGAAATATATTCATGATTCTCGTTGAAAATATGAAGTCGTTCATTCAATTTTACTTGTTTGTAAAGGAGACGATTTTCTACAGATAATATACCAAGAATATGATTATTTGCACTTAGAAAATGAGCAAATACAGTAGTTGATAATAAGTGATTGTAATCCAAAAGACCTTTGGAAAAGGAAATATCAACTTGAGCACTGATGAATTCGCAATGAGTTCCATAGTAACGATTACGACATGCACAAGTATATTTGATAAATAGTCGACTATCCAATGAAATACACGTACCACCATTTTGACACTGATTATTATTACATGGATCGAACAATGCATGACAATCGTATCCCATGCGACCGAGAGGACAAATACAAATTGGTGTTCGATATCCATCAAAGCACTTTCCACCTGCAGCATACGGGGAGGGCGTAAAAATATTGCAGTATTGACCAGACCAATTTTCATCACACAGGCAATACTCGTAATGTGGAAAATTCAAATATTTTCTACAATTACCATGCACACACGGGAATGTAGTACAGACTTTGTGTTCTTCAAGAGTTAAATGTAAGACAAGGCGATTAAAAGGAAGGAAAGAGAAGGATACATCAAATAACCAGGAGGCGATGAAAGTAACACTGAATTTGTTCACGGTAAATGCATCAAAACGAACAGACCAGTTTCCTCTCTGCTTTGGTGGTGGTCGAGGATAATTCAAATAAAATAGTTGCTTCATCGACTGCATATGGAAAATATCTTCATGATGAACAACTCTATTATCAATCATCAGACGAGCAAGTAATCGAATGACATTTTGTTGATTCTGATGTCTATTAAGACTAGCTGGCGTATCAATGCGTAGAGTGATTAATATACGTTCTGATTGATATTCACATCTGTGACCATAGTAGCTAGGTGGACATAAACATTCGATATTAGAAGACCTCGTTGTAACGATAAGACCTCGATTACAATACCACCCCGCACGGGTATCATCTGATGACTCCCAGAAATCATCTGCTGATAATTGTATGGATTGATGAAAAGTACTCTTAATTATTTGATGTGGTGAATCAATGCGAAGAAGACGAGGATATTCTTCAATAAAATGGAAATAATCTTTTATTTTCTGGTATGCAAGATCGCAAAGCCACTCATCTTCGGCGTCTGGTTGACAGTCAATGATTCCATCACACTGCTTTTTACGTAAAATACCGGTTCCATTTTTGCAGATAAACATATATAATTGCTCTTCAATCCTGTTGTGTGACCATGGACAAATCATTTCATCGTGGTGATTAGAACATTGAAACTCTCCATCGCAGATAGAAGATAATGATATACATTCGCCATTTACTGAACATTCAAACGGTTTTTGAGCATCGGTAGAAAAACATTCTGTTGGCCTTTCATCTGTTCCTCCCAAACAATCACTTTTATAATCTCCTGCATATTCTTTTGATATACAGCCCATTGTTCCATTTCTATGTATACAATAATGTTCATTTTCATGACAATTTAAAACTGTTCGTGTAATGTAGGAAGTAATTGTATTTAAACAATTCGATTCATCTTCTCCATTTTTCAAATCCCAATAACCATCGCATAGTCGATATTTTGGCCATTCTTCACAACCGATTCTATTATCCGGAGTAGATAATATATAACCGCCCTCACAGTTGTCCTTATATGGAATCAGAAGAGGTGATGAATTAAGACCTCGAAGATACTGACAACCAATATCAGACGCTGCTATACACATATCATTGTATAATAAAATGTCAACATCAAACGGACAATGGGCGTGATCCAGTAACCAGCGTGGCACCGAACGATTCCTGTACAAACATTTGAAACGATCTGTTATATTGGCATTGGCAACACCCAATCTGGTAGTGTTAAATTTGAATGTTTCATCTTCACCATCAACACAGTCAGGCGAAAAATCGAGAAATTTATGTTTCGAGATAAATTTCATCGAATTTGTACAATAGAACAATCGTCTGTCGGTTATTAATATTGGATTATAAGTAATACCGCAGGCAGAAAATCGCATTAAGACTTTCGATGGTTCTTCAATCCAACTTGGAAATTTGTGTAAATCTAAACACGATAAATTATTGAACAGTGGAAAACTTATAGATGACAAAGCAGGACAACGATTTGACTTATGACAGAAATAAGTTGGTTTGTACCAAGCGATAGAAGAATTCGGAGTATTGTTATAAATCAATTTACCGAATGGATAGAGAATATTAATAAAAGTTTGACCAACAAACAATGTCGGACAATAATCTCGAAAGTATTTTAAACAGTGTTTTTCATTTTGATTCCGATGAGTACATAAACATTTGGTATAGTCATATCCAAGGAGTTTTATATTTAGTTCTCCAGAAATACATAACATTAAAAATTGACATTCAAAACTAATATTATTTGAATTATTAATACCAATGGAAAAACCAAAATAGAAAAGATTTCGACGAAAAAAGAGATCACGACCATTATTGCATTGAGTTTGACAATCTTCATACATCGAGCAAAGACGAGTGAAATTTCGAAACAATAAACACTGTCCATCACCACATGAATATTCATTTATTTTACACAGATGAAAATCACATTCAATTTTTGATGAACGGTAACAAGAAGAACCATCTTGTAGCCAAATATGGTTTGGTATCTCATCACTTAGATCCATACAATCATAACTAAAATCACGAAGAAATGTTCTTGGAATACAGACACCATATCGACATCGATATTCATTATCTTCACATTCATTTGTTTCAAGTAATAAACATTCATCAGGTTCATCTTCACCATTCTCACAATTTAAAATACCATTACAGATCTCTCGCCAATCGAGACAAATAGCTGAATGACATTGAAGACCTTCATAACATGTTAACATTAAAATATCATCAGTAATCGTATATTCCTCAGTTAACGGAAATTTTGTGCGAAGCTGCTCATCAATTATTTTATTCAATTCAGGATTTTTAGATGAATAGTCGAATGAATATTGACATCGAGAACCAAACCAATTTGCTAAACACAATTTATTTCATATTAATAGACAAAATAACGAGTACTATTCCCTTACCTGAACAGTTACAATAATGATGATTAGCAAGTGATAAATCGTTTTTCACAAGATATTTCTGATAATTATTGATCGTATCGATAGGTGCATTCCATCTGTATAAATCATAATTGTCAATTTTCTTTAGTTTTAACTGCTCAAATGTATACATAGGATCATCATAACATTGATCATTTGTATCATTCAGTTTATTTGTATTGTGACGAATACAGTAAGGTACTAATTCCCATTCACTACTATTACTATATATTCTCAATGAATATAAGCAATTTTTGTAATCATCATTATCAGACACCTGACTATTGTATAAATGAAAATATTCATTAGTCATTGTCAACAAAGAAAATAGTAAGATATATTTTAGTATGATCATTATAATCGTAAATCTAAATAGAAACAATTTTTTAATGAAATCAATTGAGTTAGTTTAAAGAGAAATGTATTCATAAATATTTATATGAATAAAATGGTAGAACAAGTTTTTTATGAACATTTTATGGTGTAAACCTACTGCAAATATTCCTTTTGTCTGTCGTCAAATTATCAGGAATATTAGTTTATGTATCATTTTTCTATTACTATTTGCTGTTAGAATCCATGATATTGATAATAAAAAAGAAAATATTATAAACGTGCTTGTTTCTCTATATTGATGTTACTGTAATTAAATCCTTCTTTGTTGATTTTCAAGAGAAAAAAAGTCTTTATACTAGCTACTGAATATTAATCAAAAGAATTAGATTTAAGGGTGTGGGTGAGGGTAAGGTTGAAGACGGGAGAGGTAACCCATACCCGCACCCACGGCCACACTCACACCCACACCCTAAAAGTCTTAGGAATTTTCGTAAAATATAATTTATTTAAGATTTTGGTTATTCAACCTTCAAGGAAGAATAAGAATACTAGTAGTACGAATGTTTAGCCCACCTCTACTCTCTGACGTGCTTGCATGCATATATATGGGTTTTTCTTAAGAATCATGTTTGACTGGGTGGCCTTATGTACAGATACTTGAGTAGTTCATGAAGCCTCTCTGTAGTTTTCCGGGATTTGGTCGTTTTCTAAAATCGTGTAATTTTTGCATATATTCGTATAAAAGATGACCTGTGAACCATTTACGTTTGTACAATATTGACATTCCTCACTTATGACGAATATAATTCTAAAAGAGAGTATATAGTTATCTTTTACTAATGAATATTTTGTGGAATTAATCTTTGCAGATAATAAATTAGATAAATTTGAATGACAATATCTGATAAGTAACTATTTTGAACAGATAGATCTTTTAGTCTAATAGTCAGTTAAATTTTAATTAATGCTAAAAATTTCAAGAGCAATATATTTCATACAAAACATTTGATGACAAATACAAGAAAATTGTTTGAAAATAAAATGTATGTATATTTTTAAGATAACTATATTATTTTTCTTCTTTTTATTTTTTAATAAAGATGTCAAATAAAATAAAGAAAAACAAAAATTAAGAAGGAATAGATCCATAAAGATTGATTAGTATATACTATTTTATACTTATTGCTCGAATTTGTTACGTTTGTAAAATTTGTTGAATTTGTTAATAAAATAAATTTTTGAATTCTATTATTAAACGCATCAGTAACAAATATATTTCCAATGATATCGAAACTAAGAGTAAATGGATGGTTTAAGTGATCGGATGTTGAACCAGGGGAACGAGAACAACCAACCAAACATCTAAAACCATTCATATCTGATCCAATGATCCGATGATGATCTCTATCTACAATAAATAGATATTTATCACCATCTAAAATAATTCCAGTTGGATATTTGAGTGTAAATGTAATATCTGTTGATCCATCTCCTGCTACTGTTATTCCATTTAATTCACCTAATGGAAAGAGTTGAATTCTATCATTATCAGCATCTGCCACATATAAATCAAAATTAGTATCAACAAAAATTCCATGAGGATGATTAAGCATATTTGACCACGGTCCATCCTTTCCTGCACCAACAACAGTTGTTAATGTATTGATATCATCATCATCTAACCATCTTTTAACAACTTTATGTTCATACCACAGAGAACAATACAAAGTATTATTGATGTCAACAAAAAGTCCATAACATTGTGATTTAACATGCATAGCAGTAACCCAAGTCTCTCTATCTGATATCCATTTATCAACTCTACCATTTTCGTGACTATTATCAATATAGATATCATGATTGATTGTAACGAAGATAGATATTGAATATGAGAACTTCCCGTCAATTGTTCTTGTTGGATCAATACTATTATTCATCCAAATATGAATTCGATTCTTTTCATTATTGACAATGTAAATAATATTCTCTGAATTAATAAAAATACCGTAAGGTTCTTTACCAACTATACTTTCATTAGCAAAGATGATTCCATCAGAACTCCAGGTGGATGTCGGAGAAAGTTTCGGTTGATTGTATGAAAGAGCTGAAATATAAATGAGAATATTTCCGTGAAGAAAAAGTAATTCTTAAGTTTTGCAAAGATGTTAATAAAGGAAAGGACCCAAAATTGATAAAAAAAAAGAAACGATTTTTGCAACAAAAATTCAGTGAAGATTTTAGAAAATGCGAATCTGATTATTGAATTAATTTTTATTATTTAAAATTAAAGATTTCTTACCTGATGTTTTAATGACGATAATTCGACAAAGAATAATTAACAAAATATAAACATTTGTATTTTTTAACATTTTCCGTTTAATATTAATAATTGAAAAGAAAAAGAATAAAATATTTTTTTTCAAACTAAGATGATAAATGAGAGATTAATCTTTAATTTCTCTTCTAAACTCTTTTTTCCTGATTTAAAATAATAAAAAAAAACATGACAAATAGAAATCATTCTATCTACAGACAACCAGTATTATTGATAAAATGTGTTTTAACTAAAAAAAAGATCAAGTTAAACAGTCAATAAATGATTGGCGTCAATGAATATGACTTCTTTATTGTCAGGAAAAATTTATTTTATCATGATTCTTTTTTACTGTTCTAAAGAATGCATAGTTTTAATATGAACTCAATTAAATTAATCTGTTTATCATACTCACTTGTTCATTTAATGATACATTCAAGCTGACATTTGTCTTTATTTTATTTATTTCACATATATAATTAAAACTATTTAACATGGATGACAATAACCTAGTCCTAGTTTTTCTCGATGTAATACTTGACTTGCGTTAGTAAAAAGTGCCAAAGTTATATAACGAAGAGGAGCATCACCCCATCGATACAGAAATACACCTCGAGATTCATCAACAGCTTGAGCAAAATCAATAACATCTTTTCGTCGCATAAATGATATATCAACAACTTCAATATTATTCCAATAAGTTGGTACTTCACCGGCATGCCTAAATATATCAGCATACATCTCAGGATTTTGTACAATTATTTTATTTTTATTTATATAATCGTTTGTAAGATTTCGTACGCGTGTAATACCCGGAAGAACATAGTCAAAGTCACGTGTTCTAAAATTAGCTATATAAACAGCTTTTTCTTTTGATATTATATCGAATACATTAGGCCATTTACCTAAACAAGATAAAAATTATGAAAAGAAGCATTTGTCGTAGTTAATAGGATTTGAGTGAATATCATAAAACAAATTACCTAAAATTTGTGAATCATCATCAAGTCGCATCATGTATCGATATCGTTGAATGATTTTTAATTCAAATACTTGTTGAAACCAAAAATTACACATATGATGATAATTCCATTTGCCCCTTTGTGACCATGTTGGATCTCTGATGTGAGGATCAAAACCAGTTGGAAATTTATGAAATAAATGATCGACATTAACAAATTCAATTTGACGAGGAGTTGCTTCGATAATTGGTATTAAGTCTGCTCGGAAAGGATAACCAGTATGAAAGATAATTAAATCTGTTTTATTACTATCATTAAAACGTTCATTAAGTTGAATAATTCTTTGGCGAAGTTTTGGATAAGGATTATATGCGGTTTTAACATCACCACTAAAACTTGCAACTAAGTAAGCGATAACATTTTCCGAATGCTAGGTTAATAAAATAAGAATTTTAGAAATTAGATTTTAGATATTAGTACATTACGAGTTTGATTTAAATATGGGTATTTGGAAAATATTAATGGTTCTTCATTTTTTTGAACAAATTCAGATTTTATGGAATTACTTTGTCGAACTTCGATTGATATTCGTGGTTTTGAAGTAGTATCGAAGAAATAGAAGAAAAAGATTGTAAACAATGAAACCGATAAAACTGATATGGCAATTAATGGTTTATACGTTGATTGTATAGTTCTATAATATTACATTTGTAAAAAATAAAATAGTTGAATAGAAAGAAAGATTTTTACTGTTTTAATTCTAAGCAAAAATCTTTTGTTTTTATTTGATTGAGCTTGTTGGAAATATTTTCGATCGATGAGTAGTTATTTGAAGTATGATTTATTTCTGATGTATTCATTGTTATATTATTGAAATGTATATATCTAGAAAAGTAATTTATTTTTGTAAGTAGAAGTTGCTTAGATGAAAACTACTTACGATGAATAAGTTTTGTTTTTAATGAATAAATAAGGTTTTCACTTTGTAAGTTATTAGATGACTGTAGAATGTATTCACTAAAGGTTCTTTTTTCTACGAGGTTGAACAAAATTGCTTGATTGTGTTGGTTGTTTAACGTACATTCATAACTGCAGATATATAAAAATAATGTGACATGTATTAAAATATGAAAAAAAAGCCTGATAATTGTTTCATGTCGCCTTAAAATTAATTATTTTTCTGAAACATTTAGTGCGTATTATTTCCTGGGTTTTCTTTTGAAAATATTCTCAAGGATATTATTTCAAATCATTTATCGCTTGTAAATAGTTCAGTAATTGAAAGGCAAACATAAAAAGCCTACCATATATAATATTCATATTGTTATTTGTCGTAGTATAACACAAACTTTATTCATATGACGAATAGGCATAATGAAAAACTTATATATTTGCATTATGTATACCAAAAATATTTTATCAATTTATACATGCGTTTTCAATATTTCTTTAGTTTGCATCATAAATAAAAGCGACGACTGATAGTGACTTAACGGATGGATGCTTCTGTATGAAAAAAGGTCGATGCAACCACGTGCAACGTGATTTTTGTTTGTAAGGTCTCTATATTCATCTTGATTTAATTCATTTTGTTAGAAGTAGTAATCAGGAGGCCTTCTACACTTGTTTTTATTCTTCCGTCTCTCGATTTGAAAAAAACATTTTTATAAGTAACAATCACTTCAAGGTTAAAACTACTTTAACCTTCGTTGTTTGATAAGCGAAACTTACATTTCACTGTTCATCGTATTCATAAGAATATTTTTATACTACCGTGTTTATTTTATAAAATGAAAACGTTAATGTCACCTTGTATGATTTATATTTTTAATCTGAGTAATTATGAAAGAAATAAAATAAAAATGAATTACCAATGACTTTGTATACTTTTATATTATCCCTGTCGTTTTAATTGATTGTTATTGAATATGAAAACTTTCTTCAAATTTATTTTTTTTACAACGAAGTCATTTAATATCGATCACAGACCGAAACGGGGATGATTTCTCATCCTTCGCTTGGGGAAAATTTCACCCTGCCTCGCTTCGTCCGAAAAGAGTCCACCCCGCCTCACCTCGTTTGGACAGAGACTCTCCCCGCTTCGCTTCGCCTCGCTTGATCTATAAAAATTATTTTTTTCATTTGAAAATATAATTTATTTTATTGTATATTTGAAAAATTCCAAGAAAGAAAAATACAAGAAAAGAATTTTTAACTTTTAATATTGATCAATTCTTTTTTCTATCATTCTCAATTGACCGTAAAAATAAAATATTATTTAGAGTAGATGGATCCAAATTAGAACGTCTTTGATTGACAATTATTCAAGAATATAATTAAAATAAGGAAAAACAATCAACATTCTTCATAGTACTTGAATTACAACATAAAAAATAAATATTTAGAAAACTGAATAAAGAAAATAACGTTATATTTGATCTTAATGGCATATAATAATATCAGCAATTCATATTATCATGATGAATTAACTATACGATTTAGTAGATTTTAAATCATGACTAATAGTTGCCATTAGTTGTCTATGATTGATTTTTTAATACACGTCTTAAGTTGTTGTAATAACAACTTTGATATATAAAGACATCTATCATATTTCTACACTTAACAAATACCATGATTTTTTGTGTATTTAGTGCTTTTTTTGACAAAATTTCGATAAAATTTTAAGTCGAGGAAATGTCGGGTTGAGAACTAATCCTCGTCTCGCCTCGCGTTTTGCATCTTTTCCCCGCTTCGCTTCGCCACTTTTAGAAACTTATCAAAACGAATGAGAATTCATAGATAATTTATTATACATATTCTAGAAAATTTGATCTGATTTTGAAAAACTAATCAAAATTCAAACTCCAACATGAACTTGAACTGATTATTATATAGTACGATATTTGCTTGAAATCAACAAAGATAAGATAATTTATTCTTTCATATATTCATGATTTCAATAACAATAAGACTTAATCATCTTTGTATATGAAAAAAATCCATAACTATGAAATATATATATGAAGTCTCATGTTTTTATATTAGCAATTTATGCAGACAAAAAAAATAGACTTCAAAGTATATCAGAAAATACCTCGCACCTGTTTAGAACTCATATTTATCATAGCATGGCGTGATAGTAGTAATCAATAGATATAAATTCATTCTGTTGTATAATTAAAAGTTATATTAATGCAGCATAAGTATTTTTAACCAATAATTTCAACAACTTCAATTAGTATTAAAATTCGTTGTTGACTACGATAAATTTATGATTAATTAATAACAGATGGCGTTTGATAACGGTGAAATCTCTTTTATTCGATCTTTACAAAATAATTATAGGAGAAAAATATCGTCTGTTTAGTAAATAACTTTAAATATTCTATTGGAAGCCATTTTTATCCTCATCTACAAGCAACATCTATATGAACAGCTGAATAATATTGCTACAAATGTTTTGGTTGACTAATATAGAAAGAACAAAAAAAAACAACGAATGCTTCCTTCTATCGAGTCATTCAGTGCAAATCAGAAGGAAAGAAAGATAGAGAATGTTCTAAAGAACAAACACGATACTATAAAAGAAGCAGAGAACAGAAAAATAGATTTTACATTTTTATTTTTTTTATTTATATGTTTTCAAAATGAATTTTGTGTCTTTCATGGCGTCTATAGTAACAGTACAATTTATAATATTCTTATTTCTCGTAGATTCAGTGCGTACTACAGAAGAATCAAATATGTCAACTGCATCAAGTGCTATATTAAAATATATTGCTCTCGGTGCATCTGATGCTGTTGGTGTAGGAACATTACAACCAACAAAAGATGGTTGGGTACCAAAACTTGCTTCTTTAGTCAATGCACAACAAACAATGAATCTCGGTCGTAGCGGATCAACACTTCGTGATGCTATGAAGGAACAATTACCAAAAGTATTAGATCAAAACCCAAATATAATCACAATTTGGTTAGCTGTTAATGATTTTAATCAACAAGTTTTTAATCCATCAATATTAACAAATTATAAATCAGATTTAAATAAAATGTTATCTCAATTACGAACAAAATTAACTAAAGATACTCGAATACTTGTTGGAAATATACCTGATTTATCGCAAGTTAATATTTATGCATCATTTGGTATACCAAAAGAACTTCTTAGTGTGCGAGTTAAAGAATGGAATGATGCAATCAATGATATTGTACAAAAAAATCAATGTGAATTAGTAGATTTATTTGCATATTGGAAAGAATTAGCTTCACATCCAGAATATATATCATTCGATGGATTTCATCCATCTTCTGATGGATATACTCGACTTGCCGAAATATTTTATCAACAATATTCAAAAAAATAAACCATCTTCTCATCGTTATTTTTAACTTGTTGTAAACAAATAAATAAACCTGTAAATAATATATGTTTATAGAAAATAAACTTAAGCGAGCATAAAAGAAATTTAGATTCAATTTGTAATACTATTGTTAGCTTCTTTATTAATGGAAAACTAAAACACGACTGTATTTCCGGAACAACGAAGAATTAGATTATATATAGTAACAGAGCAACAACAAGTAGTATGAAGTTTTCCATAGTTCTGTTATTTTATAATATTTGAAATAAATAAAAAGAGTTTATTCTTCTTCGCTTTTTACGATCATATGTGAATAGTTTATTAAAAAGATATATAAGAATAATTCTAATAATATTATACACTCAATGATCGATACAATCTTTTTTTCCTTCAATATATCTATACACGCCTCAGAAAAATATAGTGACAAATAAAATCAGTTGCTGTTTTGATCAACAGTGGAAAGTGACATGATAGGCAATAGAAAAAATCTATGATAAAAAAAAAGCAAACGGATATAATCTTAGAATTTTAAACATGTGAGAAAAACTTTTTTCGAGTAGATTTTTTATAGTAAAATTCTGGAAAATCAAGATCTCTTTTATCTACAGAGTTGTGTAAATATATGTTAAATAAAATAAGGCTATTTTTTATTTAAATTTAAAGCATAATACAATGATTAAGCAGTGAGAGTAGGAGGTTTTGGTGCAGCTTTAAGATTAAATCCTCCACCAGTGAAACGAGCTTGATCACTAAAATAATAAAAAAAAATGTTTTTATAAGAATCAAAAATCAAATTATTTCTTACATTGTTCGATTTGGTTGAATAAGATCAGGTGGTGGTTCTTGTAATGTAATTCCATTAACTGTTGTTGTAACTTGTTGTGCTTGAGAAATACGTTCTCGTTCTTTAATCATTGTTTCTTTTTTCTTCTGAAGGAAATATTTCTGTCGTACTTCAGTTAATTGTCGATTCAGTTTATCAATTTCATATTTATAATCATCAATTTGACTTTCATACATATTAACTTCACTCGCCAATGATTTAAGTTGTTTTGTTTTAGCTTTAAGAGTTTCTTGATAAATCGATAATTGTTCAGCAACTTCTGGGCCTGGTTGACGAGCTAAATATATAAAACGATTAACGTAATTCAAAATATTCTTGAATATGAATCCCTACCTAAAATACGTTTAAGTTCAGCATATAATTTTTCTTTTTCTTGTATTAATAATTCTTTTTGTACAACTTCTTCTGTTTTTTGTATTAAACGTCTTTGAAGTATTTGAATTTTTTGTATTAATTCAAATGTTGATGGATCACTACCTTCTAATTTTCTCCAACGATGTACATTCATTGGATTTTCTAATTCTTCTTCTAATGCACGACAACGTGTACGTTCACGTAATAATTCGCGTTGAACATGAAATACTTCACGTTTAAGATCATCTGTATTCGATACTTTATCTTGTAAAGTACCTTTTTCATGACGTAATTTTTTTAATTCTAATTTTAATATACGTAAATCTTCCAGACGACCTTTGTATTGTAATTCGCCTTTATTTAATGTTGATTGTTGAATTTTAAGTTTTTCATATAGAAGTGCAAGTTCATCATTACGACGAACAAGTTGTGTACCGAGAACATCACGTTCAGCAATAATCTAAATAGGAAATAAATTTAACAGAAACAAAAAAAAAGAAAGTTCGAATTACTTGTTGTAATTGTTTCAATTGTTTTTTACGTTCATCATTTGCTTCAGATAATTGTTTATTTAAACGTTCAAATTCAGCTTGTTGATTTGCATATGCTTCTTCTTTTTTCGTTGCTTCTCGTTTTAATTGTTCAACACTAACGATTAGCTGCTCTTTTTCTTTTTTAACTTTGTCGTGATCAGCTTGTGCACGTACTAATTCTTGTTCTTTACCTTGAATTTCTTCTTTCAATTGATCAATTTGATGATTCATTATTTTTAATTTACGTTTCATTTCACCAATTTCATCATGAGATTCAATTAAATTTTTCGAATAGAGATTACGATCAGATCGAACAGCTTCATATAAATTTTGTTGTTGTTTTAAACGAGTTTCTAATTCAGCTATTTTCTTCTTTTGATCAAATAATTCAAGTTCTTTCTTTTTGACTTCTTCCATTAATGCAAGAACTTGATTTGTTAATTGGCCAGCTTCAGTTATATATCTGATTGAAACAAAAAATTAAGTGTTATGACATTCGAACTTTCTATTAGAAATATAATTTAGTAAGGGAATTATTGAGAGCAAAATTTTATTAAGTCGCAATTATTTTAATGATAGGAAATACTCTTAACGCTTTAGCTTTGCGAAGAATATATTCATTATTTTTGCTTCTTGTAATGGTATCAATATATAGTTAAATTATTTATTCTCAATAAAATCATAATTCCAATTTTTTCCTAACTAATTCGAATAGGATTAGTATTATTAAAATATGAGCATTAGAAATTTAGATGTTAATATTTTCACAAGTTTAAGTCAAGCAAACCTTATTGCTGTTTAGTTTTTCAATAGAATGCTTACATAATCGATTATATCTCTATTTCAATATCTTTTAAACTATAAAGTGAATTGTAATTTATATGATTGGAGAAAGAAATAATTACCGATCACGTTCTTTTTCCATTTTAAGAATAATTTTTCGTTGTTTACTTGCTTCATCTTTATAATTAGTTATATCTTGTTCTAAAGTTTTTTTTGTTTGATCAAATGTTTTAACTTGATCGGTTTGTTTTTGATTATCAGCAACTAATTTTTGACATGTTTTATTTAGTTGTTCACGTTCACGTGTTAATGTTTCAATTTGTTTTTTATTTTCATCTTGAGTTCGTTTAAATCGATCGATTTCTTGTTCTAATGATGATATTGTTGAACGTAAACGTTCACGTTGTTGTTCAACTTCACCAATTTGATCTTCAACTTGTCGTACACGTTTTTCAACATGATCTTTTTTCTTTTGTTCACTATCACGTTCTTTACGTAATTGTACAAGTTCATCTTCTTTTTCTTTAAGTTCAATTACACGACGTGAACAATCATTAGCAAGTTTTTCATTTGTCGTAACAAGTTCTGTAAATTGTGTACGAGAATTATCTAGACGAACTTGAAGTATTTGATTTTCTTTTGTTAAACGTACATTATCATCTTTTAATTGTTTTAAATGTTGTTGTGCTTTTTTTAATTCTTGTTGTTGAGCTTCAAATTGTGATGTTTGAGCTTTAAATTCTGCATTTCTTAAATCTAAATTTTGTTTATTTGCCTTAAGTTCAAGTTCAACTTGTTCCTAATAATAAAATGAAAAATTTATTATATAAACATATGTCAAGATAAAACTAACTCGTTTTTTTGTTTCTCTCATATTATCATTTTTTGCTTGAGTAATTTTTTCTTGCAATGAAATTATTTGTTCATTAGATTGTTGAATTTCTTTTTCCAAATCACTTTGTTTAAATGAATTACTATCAAGTTCACGACGTAATTGGGTTATATCATTTAATAATTTATCTCGTTCTTGTACTAATTCAGCGCGAGCATTCATCAAATCATTTACATCTTGTTCTTGACCAACACTTACACCTAAAAATAAATTTATTTTATCTTTCGTAAATAAAGAGAACTTAATAGGTTTGAGATAGTATTCATCCGTTTTCTTTTGCTTATTTTTCATTCTCTAAGAAAGAAGATTGTATCTGAAAAATCATTCTTTGTGCATTTTCAGTATGTGTTGCAGTATTACTTTTTTCTTCGTTTTAGGAACAGTATCCGGGACAGGTGCAGTTACACATAAATGTTAGAACAACACTTGTAGTGAGTGCTTTTGTCATTTTTTTTATCAATTTTCGAAACGCTTTTGAAGTTGAGTCGATTTTGGATGTCTCCGAAAAGTTCAATGATGTGTTAATAATAAATTACTTCTCAATAGATAAAATATAGTCCAGGTATAGAATTTTGATCGTTTGTTGAAAAATACTTTTGGTATTGATTATTCTTTACGAATAGTTTGGTAATTATGAAGAATAGAAGAATGTACATTAAAACTTGTATAAATAGACTTATTCAAAAAACCTCACATGTATAGTATTCATCTTTAATCTTTCTTTTAACATATCAGATAGAAGCGTAACCAAGATTTCTCAACAGGGTGGGCTCAGCCATGGTATTTCCAGTAATCCAGAAAGAGTAGTGTGGTTTTTCTTCAGTGCTTAGCAAAATGGAAAGTGTATCATGCTTAAATTTATTTGTGAAAAAATACAACTATATATAGAGAGGGTAGTGAATCACACATCATTAGGTGACATGCACAAAACGAAACCAAGAAAGTAAAAGTGACAAGAATGTATATAGATGTACGAACTACCACATAATAACCTAACGAATGATATCATGTGGAGTGAGAAGGCACAATGGATGAACACGATAGCTGTTATCATATGAGAAAAGAATATAGAGAGAACGAAAAAAAGTGACGAAATATAGTGAATAAAACATATAAAGAATAGATGAAGAGAACGAGAAAAGATGTAGGATACAGTGAACGATGAAAGGTAAAGATAGAGCGTGCTGAATGAGGTATTGCTATCTAACATCATAAGTTTTCGGATGGACTCAATCTATCTCACCTGTGGTCACACTCCTAATATTAGAATGTTAGTCAGATAAATCATTCATACCTGTTCCTTGTTCGACTAAATTACTTAAATTATTAATTTCAATTCTTAAACTTTGAATAGTTTCTTTTGCACGTTGTTCTTTTTCATGTGCAGCATCAACCATTTTCCATGCTTTTTCAATTTCTTTTCGTAAAGAATTAATTGCGCTCTTATCTTCTTCACTTAATTTCATTGCCGATTGTACTTTTGCTGAATTAGTAACAAGTTCAGAATTTAATTCTCGACATTTTTGCATTAAACGTTTTTCACTATCATGAGATTTAAGTAATGCTTTATGAAGTTTTTCATATTCCGCACGAAATTTATCTAAACTTCGATCACCACCAACAAGTTCAGTCAGAACAGCCTACATGAAGAAAAAAATAGATCTTAAAAAATTTTTCTTAATTAATGAAATAGATACTTGAAATTCATCTTCCATAACTTTTAATGCACCATCATCGAAAGCTGTTCGAAGCATGGCTGATTGTTTCTTTGAACCATCTGCATCAGTCGAAGGCATTGCAGAACCTGGTGGACCACCATCAGCTTCAGCATTACCAGGTGATTGACGACCGTCTGACATAATATATGTGTATTCAGATCTACAAATAATTACAAAATAGAAAATATTCGTATCAGAAGTAATTTCTTGATTAAAACTAATATATCAATAAATAAAAATATGATGAATAACTGTTTTTCAAGGAAGTATTATATATAATCAAAATAGTTCTATTTTATTCTAATTATGTGTGTATATGATTGTTGTCAACCATTCAGACATTACTTCATCGTGTCTATTAGCAACTACCTTTATAAATATTTAAATGTCATATTAAAAATTTATTTATTTAAGAGAAAGATGTCACTATTTACAAGGTTCGAATACATTTTTTTCTTCAATTGATTTGTCATTTGTGGGTTGTATACTGAGATTAAATACGTGTCAATTGAGAATTAATCGTTCTTTTGCTACCTTTATAAATGATACAAAAGCTTAAAACACATATATATATATTGACGAATGTATATGAAAAAAGGATGACCTTGTTTGTTTGCTCGATATTGTTTAAATAAATTCTTATTGAGATAGAACACGAAAAAAAATTGTTTCCTTTTCGAACTGTGTTATTCATTCATTCCGTATATTATTGTCATTTCGATGAATTGGTTTATATTCGGTTACATTATTTCATTAGGTTTTATTCTTCAAGTACAAACAGAACAAGATATCGATCCCAATGGATATATTATTTTTTGTTTATGTATGGGTCGATTTGGTAATCAAGCAGAACATTTTCTTGGCGGTTTAGCGTTCTCTAAATTAATTAATAGAACATTGATTGTTCCACCTGTAGGTACATCTTTCGTGGATAATAAATGTTAGAAAGTTGTTGAGATTTTTTTCTATTTAGTGGCGTACCTATAAAAATATTCCATATTCAGAATGGTTTCAAATAGAATCTCTTCGTTCTTATCACCGTGTTATTGATGCTGAAGATTTTATGCAAAATCTTGCTCCTCGTATTTGGCCACCGGAATCTCGTATTGGTTTTTGTTGGTTATCAGCTGATAGGCCTAAATCAGAATGTCAAATGAAAGAAGGAAATCCATTTGGAGCATTTTGGAATGAATTAAACGTTAGTTTTATTGATACAGATACATATCAACTTAGTTATGATAAATATTCTATTAATGAATGGCATGATTTATTTCCAGCTGATCGTTATCCTGTTTTAGCTTTAAAAGGAGCACCAGCATCATTTCCAATGCTACCTGAACATCGTCCATTACAAAAATATATGGATTGGTCAGAACAAATTATGAATGAAGTTCAACAACATCAAAAAACTCTCTTTAACAATGAACCTTATATTGGTATATTATAAAGAAGCAAACTATTTTAAATGAAATAAATCTATATTTTTGTATAGGAATTCATTTACGAAATGACGTTGATTGGTTACGAGCTTGTGCTGATGTTGAATCACTTAAAACTCGTTCATATATGGCTTCACCTCAATGTTTTGATCAATCATCATCTACTCATGCCTATGTTACGCATAAAATCTGTTATCCATCTGATGATGAAATATTTCGTTTATTAAAAAATATTGTTCTTCGTACACGTATACATAATATTTATGTTGCAACTGATAAAAGACCAATGATCAAAGAAATTGAAGAACATCTAGCAGCACAACGCGTACAAGTAAAACATCTTGATCCATGGTTACCTGTTATGGATATTGCAATGTTAGCACATGCAAATTATTTTATTGGGAATTGTGTTTCATCATTTACATCAGCTGTTAAAAGAGCAAGAGATGTTCATAACTTACCAAGTGCTTTTTGGGGTTTTAGTGAGTGACTATTTTTTTTTTGTAAATACAACAACTATTTAAAATAACAAATAAAATATATAAATAATGACTGCTTAAAAATAAAATAATGTACAATAAAACTGCTTTCATTGATTATTAATAGTCTATATCTATTGTATAGATTTTCTCTGAAGAATTGGTGTTTTACCCCATAATGGAATAGAATTACATTCATCAAGTTTGATTGTTGATGTAGCTAATGTAATTGTATCGTCGACAAAATCTTGATGAAGTCTATCACTTTTATACATATTAACAACTAATGAAATAAGATCGAGTGTTTGTTTAATAAGAGCAGTAAATCGAAGTACAGATTCTCGATAACCATATCGATATATCATATATTTCCATAGGATTTCAACGAATACATTTTGACTTCCAAATAAACGAAATGTACCTAATAGAAGATGATCATTGAATAAATTATGTCGATCATCTAACATATAACAATTTGAAGAGAAAGCAATTATAATAAGCATTAATTTAATTAATGTTGTATCTTGTTCAAGTCGACTATTAAGTATTTTCTTACGTTTAATCATATCAGATCCAAGTGTATATGTTAAAGTATTTGACCATACAGGATTTTCAAGCATTCGTAAATCTCGACAAACAATTTCAGCACAAAATATAAATAAACCATTAAGATTACGTTTTAATAATGAATGTTGTTCATTTATCGTAAGAATTTTATAATCAGGTGCAGATGCAACAAATGATTGGGCTGTTGCATAATACGTAGTAAATAAATTGTATGTATGTGATGCATCGAATAGACGTTCTGCAGGTAAATTTCTTAAATATTTCATTGTATTTGTTATTATAGATGATGGATCAAATTTATCATAGGCATGTATTACATTCGAAAGTAATGTCCATTGTAGACTGGTCAGAGAAGAACGATCATATTTTAATAAATCTAATGTTTGTAATGGTAGATTAGACTGGTTCTAGTTTATAAAAACACAATATATAATTATAATAGTGAGCCGAGGATTTTTTTATGATACAAAAGGACTAGAAGCAATCGGGACTATTTTCTCGATACATTTCTTCTCTTTCTAACAATATGTATTACTATTTCTTTTCAAGTATAAGATGTTATGCTAATTTTCATACCATAGTTTCTTGTTTTATATTATTAATTCTACTATCACGTCGATCAGCTATCCGTATCAAATTTGGATCCATACCAGTAGAAAAACATTTCTTAAGTCGACATGCCGTACAACCTAAACGCGTATGTTTTGTTACTTCACAATTTCCATCACGCCGACATATGATTTGACTCTAATAATATCAATAAAAAAGTTGAATTGTAAATTATTTTTAATAATAAAATGCTAACTTTATTACGAGATACATTTCGACGGAAAAATGTTTTACAGGCTTGACAACAAAGTGCACCATAATTAATAATTCGAGCAATATCACCACATACAAGACAAATGCTTTGCTTTGATAGACGTCTTCCAACTTTATTTTTCGTTGGTGCAGGTAATGGTAATAAAACTGGTTGCAGAAAAATTGAAGTCATCTCTAAATTATATGAATATAAAATATTTCTTTATATTAGGTACACGATGAATAAAGAACGAAAATAAACCAAAGTCCAAAAGCGTGCACGCGACGTATTCTATTCGGACTATTTTTTTTTTTAAATTGATATGATATACACGCTTCTTTGTTTTCATTTGTTTTTGTAGATTGTTATGAGAAAGAAAAACAATCTAGTTTTCATTTTTTTACGTGTTAATAACTATATTCACTAGTTTATCAGGCAAGTAAATATTTATTCAAGTATCGATGAAATGTCGAACAACACGATGAATCTATATATATATATAGTACGAAATTAAAAAGATCAAAGTATTCGGTTTATTTTTTTACAAGCAATGAATAGTATCAAGAAAATATAAAAGTATTTAAACAATTAAAACTAAAAATAACATGAATATTTACGTACGGTGTTATTTTTGTTTAACGTAAAAAACAACAAGAACTTATCTATCTCATTTAAAGAGCATAATATTGCATTACATGTAGTTCCAACGTATAAACTATTTGTTCAATTTAGTTTTTTGTACTAAGATCAAAATTATCTATAAAACGATCATAATCTTGAGGGTGTGGGTGGTATTATATTCACTCAATCCACCAGCACTCACACCCTTTTAATGGTGTCTATTAACAAATGGAAGGAAAAGTTGTATTGTTTGTACGCAAGCGGTAAAAAAAAGAAAATAAATTCGTTTTTGTGCTGGTAATTCGGGAATGTTCAAAGATATTTTGTGAATCGATTGCTATTGGTCGATCGTATCTCGAGTTTGATTGATCGTTGTAGTAGCTTCTCATCGATCAATTCTGTCTCTTGTATTAGACGTCATTCTTTTTCATTTTTTTTTCTTTTCAACAAGTAATTGCAACGCCATGTGAAATCAATAAAAAACAACCCTCGACTCATTTATCCGAAAACAAAAATAACAACACATCATATATTTCAGCATGAATCTACGATGTCAAATCAAAGCATTGCTACCTTCTTTACGTTACCAATAGAAATTGTCTACCGAATTCTGGACCATCAGTCGGATTTCACAATCCTATGCTCGATGAGAAACGTATGCCAACGATTCAATGAGATCGTAGACAGTTATCCTCGATACCAGGTAAACGTCCTTCTATCATAATAGTCTAGTTTTTATCTATTGATTACTGAATTATTTTTCATTCCTTCAATCTCTATTTATGTAGAATGACTTCAATAAAATATACGTAAATAAATTATTTGTTACTTAAAATCATTCAACAGTTATTAATCTCTTCATAAAAATTCATTTTTTGTTTCTTTTCAATCTCATGTAAATATTTCCCATTGCAAGCCAGGTATGATGTCGTAAATTTGAATCAAAATACCATTCTATAAATTAAAATATCTTATGACAAATAACGTTCTAGAAATTTGCTTGAGAGATATCTTCGACAAATGCTCCTTTGAAAGTATGAGCGGGTGTGGATATGTATTGAGAGAAGATTAATCCATAACAAGATCCACATTTTCATGCAATCATATCATTCATACCCAAATCCTAAAGGTGGACCATTTCTTTAAGGAATACTACTTCTAAAGCAATTTTTTCTAAACTAATTTCTGCGAAATACGTTTAATCCGAAAGAAATTCTTTTCAAGATCGACATTTCGAGAATAATCGATTATCATTCATTACGAGATACTTTTATTACCTCCTTTTTATCTCAGCTTCTCATTCGATTACCTTGAGCACTTCACAGCATCTCAAATCATAGAAATATTCAGATTGATATCTATCCACTCTTAAATGGAGCCATACGAATATTTGTCTCACTAATACAATCCCAGATAACAGCGGTCAACTATTCTGTCTCTTCATCGGTATTATATTTTTACCACTACGTTTTCATTTAGACACTCACTTCATTGGATCTCTCATACAGTCAAATCGAAGATGTTGGAGCAGAACATTTAGCTAATGTATTACAATACAATACGGTAATTCTTATTCTCTCTTTATCGGTAGTATACCTTTACCTCTATCTTTTATATAGACACTCACCACACTATGCCTCTGGAATAATAAAATCGGAGATGCTGGAGCAGAACATTTGGCTGGTGCATTAAAATACAACACAGTAATTCTCATTCTCTCTTCACTCATATCTTGTCTTTACCTCCACTTTTTCATATAGACATTAACTACACTCGATTTTAAGGAAAATGAAATCGGAGATGCTGGAGCAGAATATTTGGCTGATGCATTACAACATAACACAGTCATTCTCATTCTTCCTTCATCTAAATCTTGTCTTTACCTTAGTTTTTTCATCTAGACATTCACTGTACTAGATCTTGAATATAATCAAATCGGTGATGTTGGAGCACAACATTTAGCAAATGCATTACAACAAAACACAGTAATTCTCATTCTCTATTCCGTTATGTCTTGTCTTTATCTCCACTTTCTTATCTAGACTCTCACTTCATTGAATCTCACATATAATCGATTGGGACATGTTGGATCAGAACATTTGGCTGGTGCATTAAAACATAACAAAGTAATTCGTATTCTCCCTTCAACTATATCGTGTCTTTACCCTCCGCTTTTTTCATCTAGACACTCACTATGCTTTATCTGAAAAATAATGAAATCGAAGATGCTGGAGTAGAATATTTGGCTGATGCATTACAGCACAATAGAGTAATTCTCATTCTCTCTTCATCGATATCATGCGTTTACCTCCATTTTTCCATCTAGACACTTACCACTCTAGATCTTGAGGAAAATGAAATCGGAGATGTTGGAGCACAACATTTAGCTAATGCATTACGACACAATAAAGTAATTTTCATTCTCTCTTCATTTAAATCTTGTCTTTACCTTCGCTTTTTCATCTAGAGGCTTACAACACTAAATCTCTCAATTAACCAAATCGGAGATGTTGGAGCACAACATCTCGCTGATGCATTACAATACAACCCAGTAATTTTCATTCTCTCTTAACCTATATCTTGTCTTTAACTTCACTTTTTCATGTAGACTCTCAGCTCATTGAATCTCGCATACAATGAAATCGGACGTACTAGCGGAGAACATTTTACTAATGCATTACTATACAATACAGTAATTCTCATTTTCCCCTTCAACTGTATCTTGTCTTTATCTCCACTTTTCATCTAGGCACTCACCACACTAATTCTCTCGGAGAATGAAGTCGGCCATGACGCTATGGATAAAATAAAACGATCTGTTGAACGCAATGCGAAGAAGAAATCCATCAATGCCTATATTACATATGTTGATGCGACGAATGAATAGCGGGTGATAATTATAAAGAAATATGATTTGTCTTTTAATGTTTAAAGAAAGAGTAAAATAAAAGTGTTTGTTTTGAAACTGAATCTGTGATGTGAAGATAGTGCTTGATTAACATTTGTGGGTGTGCACGTGGGTGGTATTATATTCTCTCTCGGACCACCGACACCCTCACACACATCCACACCCAGGATATATATAACTGCTTGTAACCATAAAACGTTCTGTTGATTGAAATAAATGTCGCCTAAAGGAAAGTGTCCACTATATAGAGATTCAGTTCCTGCAGAAATGGACTCTTTAGTGTGTGTGAAATAACTTTTGTAGAAATCTACTTTATGTTTTTTAAAAGTTTTTGTCATGAGATATAGAACCATAACTTTGTATAAACTGTAACAACAGAACAAATAATAAGGTATCAGTAGAAATGACTTCTATACCTATGTTTTTCATTATATGAAAATATATTTCTGATTACAGTTTTAAGCTATGAATGCAATGATGATAAAATAAAGCCGAAACCCATATTTTCACAGTTAATCTGATGATTAAATTATAATTCATGTACTTGCATCTATCTTATTTTCTTTCCAGGTAATAGAATAAGTTGAAAGTAGTTCATACAAGTATTTGTTTTAAATATAACTATAAAAGAGTAATCTATTTAAAAGGATATTATTTTTGATTATTTAATAAGTGATATCAAAATATAGTGATCTGTCCTTTTTCATAGTATCATAATTATGAAATATGGATTTAAGATTTAAATCGTTGATTTCTCTATATATAAATAATTATTATTTCATACTACGATGACGTATGGCTCTGTTTTTCTATTAATGAAAATATGCTATCTATTAATCATTATCTCATTTTCAATTCAAAAGTATGAGAGATAATGATGTATTTATAAGATTTATATTATTATATAATCCGAATTAATTTATGTAAATGAATCATTATCAGAAAAAACATACTTTTAGTTTTATTCAATACCTTCAAAGTATCTATTAATATCGCATAAATATAGAATAAAAGCGGAAGTGTTGTACTTTGGAAAATTGTTCTTTAACAACCATATAATTGTAAATTAATTTAATTAATAATTAAAAAAATAGAACATTGTAACTATAGAATAAACTCATGTGACATAAATTTACTGTTGGTATAATATTGTTGTCATTAGTATATTAAGTAGAAAGAGAATTTACTTGAAAATACTTGCTTCCGGTTCTAGTGAATGAGATAAGTTAAAAGAAGCTACAGCTATGGATAATTAGTATGTTAATTAAATGAATTATAAGTATTAAATCTTGAATAAGAAAAATCTATTCAATTTCTGATAGCGAAAAGTACTTCTCAAAATCGTAAATAGTTTTCTTATTAGTTTTGGAGATTGAAAACTATAACCGTTATGATCTTTTTTGAAAAACATATATCAAACTTAAATATAGCATTTTTACTTTCACTTTGAAAATTACACGCGCCTACGAACATATGAACATTTCTCATTATAATAAAATGAGCAATCTTGTGATACGCCCTACTGTGAGAGAAAGGCTGACAAATGAAGAAAAAAAAAGAGAAGATAAACAGATATGCTTGTTTCTGTCATTTTCCTTTTCAGTGCCATTATTTTTAATGTCATCAAACATCAATTTAACCGACATGTCATTTGATGACAATCTTATATTATCACTAAATAATATTTCGACTCAGTTTGATCGCTATATTTCTATATTCATCTTTTTCTTTGGTGTTATTGGAAACGTCATCAATATTTTTGTTCTATCGCAGAAAAATTTTCGTACTAATTCTTGTGGATGGCTTTTTCTTATTTCATCGATTGTTAATCTTATTTCTCTTTTCTTTGCACTTATTACTCGTATAATGAACGGTTGGGCAACTGATCCAACAGAAACGATTGCATGGCTTTGTAAAGTTCGTGCTCATATTGTATTCTCATCAAGAACTATCGCATTATGGTTGATCACATTTGCTACAATTGATCGTTGGTTTCTATCAAATATTAATGTACATCGTCGACATTTAAGTACATTAAAAAATGCTCAACGAAGTGCAATATTCATTACAATTTTTTCAATTATTCTCTATGCTCAAATGTTTTATTGTTATGAAGCAAATCTTATGAATACACCATTGAAATGTTATGGAAAAACAAAAGTTTTTCGTCATTTAACAGATTTATCATTGACTTTTATTACTGTTCTATGTCCTTTGTTTGTTATGATTATATTTGGTTTGTTAACTATATCAAATATTCGTCAATCTCATCGTCGAATACAAATATTAAAGACAGAAAATATTGATCATAGTATAAATAAACCATCAGGATTATCTAATGAAAATCCACAACAAAAATTAAAAAGAAAAACTGATCGAAGTCTTCTTCGAATGTTGTTTGTACAAGTAATTATTCTTACAATACTTACTCTTCCATTATCAATTCAAAAATTTTATTCAACAATATCTAGCGAGAATATATCACCAGTAGAAGATGCAATTGATATGTTTGTTTATAACATGGCTATTTTACTTTATTGTATTTCGAATGGAATGCCTTTTTATATCTATACATTATGTGGTGGAACTATTTTTCGTAAGGCACTTTCTGATTTTATCCAAACTATGAAACGAAAAATTATATGTAAATAAAATTGTTATTTTTTTCATGTTAATAAATAGTTTTCTCATTGCTGGTTATAATACAATCATAAAAAATGATTGGTGTTTGATTTGTACTACGGTTATATATTTTAATAATAATAATTGGATGTGAACTTAATCTATATCAGCCCTTCGGTTTATTTGACCTATTAGAGACGAGAGACATATATTTATGTTCGGTTTTGAATGATTGTAACGAAACTTGTGTAAACCTTTTATCGTGTAATTATAATTATAACATTCCAGAACAATATTATATTATATTAGTTATTCGATAATAAAAAGCTATTTTTTTTCAGAAATAAGTATTCATCGATAATTCAAATGCTAAGAACACTAATAATCAACTGATTTTTCTTTCAATATAGTAATACAATGTGTTGTTAATTAGATTTGTTTCAAATACATTGAACAAAAAAACACATCTTTTTTTAAATATATGAAACAATAGTTTCTATTAGAATGAATGATTTACATGAGCAGTGGTTTTTAGAGAATGAAAACTATTCGTAATATAATCTTTTTAGGCCATCAAACTATTCTTCACCATGCTTTTCATACATTTAAATCATCTACTTAATGAAACTATAGTGATGAACGGTGAGAAAGAATAAGTAATATGCAGTTTCGCTTTTCTTTCCAACTTCGTTTCTTTACACACTCTCTCTTCGTTCTGATAAGTAACTATACATACAAAGATGAAAGTAGAATGGCAAGAATAATAAAACTGCATTAACGTTTGTTTATTTCATCGTCAATGTACTTTTTTTTATCAATCTTGCTTTCTCCTTATATTTGCATTTTATATGACTAACTATAAATCATCGATAACGCTTTTTTCGCGGAACGATTTGAAATCAAAAGAAGCCGCATGACTATTCTTAATAATGACATTATATTTTTAGATTTAAACGAAAAGAAATTATTTGTCTTATATAGAATACTTGTATACTACACATAATTCTCTTAAAATACTTTTAACAGCGTTTTTCTTCATAGATTTTCATGCAATATGACTTGTAATAGACATAAGTGTAGTGATGCATACATGTATACTGTTTCAAGATTATTGCCACATTTAATTAACTTCTTTTTTATCAACTAAAGCCAATATAATGTTTAAAGCATATTCTTTGTACAAACATTCACAAAGCTTCTTTCAATGATTTTTCATCACAAATTTCATACGCTTATCGAAGAATGTAAAAGAAAAAAAATAACTCGCCGAAAGAATTGTATTTCTCTTTCTACCTATAGTCGATGGAAAAAATGTCGCCTACACATCAGCAAACTGAAATAATCATGTAGACAGAAGGAAGGAAAAGTTGGAAAGAATAATAATAAAATAAATTCGATTGTTCGTTCTTTCGATAACATTACCAACAAATTTGTTTGTTTTAATCTGTTTTTTGCTCTGTACAATATTTTTTTCGAACGTAACTACGTGGAGTTTGTCTTTGAGCGACAACAAAAACACACAAACATTCGAAGTCCCCGAAAGATCGAGAAAAAACAAGTCACTACCTATATAAAGAAGAACGGTGATTTTTTGTTTCATTCAAACAACAACGTCTACTGATAAGTTCACCTTCAACAACCAATTACAATAAGATCAGAATGAGCGGATCAAAATCAAATGAAAATGCTGCTGTATCATCAAATATTCGTCAACCACGACAACGTATGGTACAAAATTATCTTCTCATCTGGGTAGATGCCAGCATCGACGAAGCAGACGAGGACTGCCAGAATACATTGGCTCAACTGAAGAGCGTGGTCAACGATGTCAACCTATGCACGGAACCGAATCAGTGCATCCAAGCACTCAACAAGGTTGACAAGGAACAAGCCTTTGTGATAACATCAGGCTATTTGGGTCAACATCTGATTCCAGAAATTCATGGCATGCCCCAGCTAGATGCCATCTACATCTTCTGTGGTAACAAATCTCGACATGAGGGTTGGATCCAAAACTGGACAAAAATCAAAGGTGTCCATACAAATATCAAAGACATCTGCCAAGCATTGCAATTGGCGGTTAAACAATGCGACCAGGACGCGATAGCCGTAAGTTTTCTCGCGGTAAATGAAATGGCTTCAACTGATAATTTAAATCAGTTGGAGCCAACTTTCATGTATACACAGCTATTCAAGGAGATTCTCCTTAATATGGAATACGGTGAAAAGGCAATCAAGGATTTAGCAGTTTGTTGCCGTGAGGTTTTTACTGGCAATCTAATTGAATTAAAAATTATTAATGAATTCGAACGTGACTATGATCCACAAAACGCGATATGGTGGTATACACGTCAGTGTTTTACCTACAAAATGCTCAATCAAGCACTTAGAACTATGGATGCCGACATAATCATTAACATGGGCTTCTTCCTACGTGATGTACAACAACAAATTAAACAGCTGCATGAACAACAGGTCAGTAGTTATGGACGAAAACCTTTTTTAGTTTATCGAGGACAAGGTCTTATGAAATCAGACTTTGAAAAACTTCAGAAAGCAAAAGGCGGACTTTTGTCATTTAACAACTTCTTGTCCACGAGTAAAGATAAAGAAGTGTCCCTGGAGTTTGCTGAACGTGCTTCATCAAAATTGAATATGGTTGGCATTCTCTTTGTAATGTCAATTGAACCTTCTATCAAATCAACACCATTTGCCTGTATAACTGAACTTAGTTATTTCGAGGCACAAGAAGAAGAAATTCTCTTCTCAATGCACACCGTCTTTCGAGTGAATGTAATTAAACAAATCGACAATAACAATCAACTTTATCAAGTTGAATTAGAATTAACATCAGATGATGATCAACAACTACGAGTACTTACTGATCGAATCCGAGAAGAAGCTAGTGGTAGTACTGGATGGCTTACATTAGGTCAATTATTGCTTAAAATTGGTCAATTTAATAAAGCTGAAGAACTTTATAATGTATTACTCGAACAGACATCTGATGAGATTGAAAAAGCGATTTATTATCACCAGCTGGGATTTGTCCATTGGAATCAAGGTGATAATGAAAAGGCTAGTTGGTATTACGAACAAGCACTTGAGATTAAACAAAGAACTCTTCCTTCAAATCATCCTGATTTCGCGCAGTCATACAACAACATCGGCTTGGTGTATGACCACATGGGAGAGTACCCGAAAGCACTATCATACTACGAAAAAGACCTTGAAATTTGCCAAAAAACTCTTCCTTCAAATCATCTTTCGTTGGCTACTTCATACAACAACATCGGTAATGTGTATGACAGCATGGGAGAGTATTCGAATGCACTTTCATATTACGGAAAAGACCTTGAAATTCGACAAAATACTCTTCCTTCAAATCATCCCTCATTGGCTACTTCATACAACAACATCGGTATTGTGTATAACGAAATGGGAGAGTACTCGAAAGCACTTTCATCTCATGAAAAAGCACTTGAAATTCGGGAAAAAACTCTTCCTTCAAATCATCCTGATTTCGCGCAGTCATACAACAACATTGGTAGTGTGTATAAAATGATGGGAGAGTACTCGAAAGCACTATCATACTACGAAAAAGCACTTGAAATTCAACAAAAAACTCTTTCTTCAAATCATCCCTCATTGGCTACTTCATACAACAACATCGGTGGTGTGTATGACAACATGGAAGAGCACTCGAAAGCACTTTCATCTCACGAAAAAGCACTTGAAATTCGACAAGAAACTCTTCCTTCAAATCATCCTGATTTGGCTACTTCATACAACAAC